ATTGCGGAGCAGAGTGTCAAGGCGAAGCATCAAAGCCTGACAGTAGGTATTCATCTTGCAGTCAGGCTTGAAACTTGAGACTGGCTGTATTAGCCTGTAAATTGGCCAAGACCCTGGTCTTCCAATTTCCATGCAATATGGATGAAATAAATTAAGCTTGATTAGTGATTAATATTGATTTCTTTAGAGTTTTGATATTTTTAAGTGCGATCACGAAGGCAGTGTAATTGCTCACTCCATAGCTAGCTCATAGCTGAAGCATCAAATCCTGAGTTAATTTCCAAGCATGAACTGAAAAGAATTAGAACTGGATCAGCTCAGCTCAGCTAAATCAGCTCAGCTCAATCAGCTCAGCTCAGCTCAGCTCAGCTCAGCTCAATCAGCTCAGCTCAGCTCAATCAGCTCAGCTCAGCTCAGCTCAGCTCAGCTCAGCTCAATCAGCTCAGCTCAGCTCAGCTCAGCTCAGCTCAGCTCGCTCAGCTCAGCTCAGCTCAGCTCAGCTCAAGCTCATTCAGCTCAGCTCAGCTCAAGCTCATTCAGCTCAGCTCAGACAGCAGCTCAGCTCAATGCATTACTGAGCCGGCTCAGCTCACAGCTCAACAATTTGGCAAAATGTTGAGCCGGCTCATGAGCTGAGCTGATTTTTGAGCCGGCTCAACTGAGCTGATCACAAGTCTGCCTTTTACATTGTCGTCAGCGTCTGAGGACTGTCATGGTGTCGGGGTTCCGGCCTGATGTGTGGCGGTCACCGCGGGATCAGTGGCAGCACCGTCCGTTCGCCGGGATGATGGGCAGATGAACTATGGTCCGTTGGGGCGCCCTGTGTGCCATAGTGACCCCACTGGTGGAGACCGACGAGAAAGGTTTACCAATGAACATCAGCCATTTTTCGTGATAGTGATGGTTTTTGGATCATAAATGTGCGAACTCTGGGACGGTGAGCATTGGCATCCGATTTTGATGAGCGAACGCTGACCAATGCTGAGCTGATCAGCCGCCCACCGACCGGCAAACCCGGGCCGCCCCGCAGTGGTTACTGCTGGCCTCCAGAGATGGCGCTAGTGGTGGACGCCTGAAGGTAGACTGTGCCGCACGACCCCCTGCAGTTACTTCTGGCGTTCAGAGATGGCGCTAGTGGTGGACGCCTGCAGATAGACTGTGCCGCAGCAGTTACTCCTTGCCTCCAGAGATGGCGCTAGTGGTGGACGCCTGAAGGTAGACTGTGCCGCATGACGCACTGGATCTGCCGGCCGCATCGGCTGAGGTGGGAGCGATCGCGCTAGCTTCCCTGGAGTTTTGACGGTCAGAATACGGGATTTCCGCATCTATTTTCTGCGGAGTCTTTGTGGGGCCAGTACCAGCTCGTGTGAATCACCGTGCCGTACCATGGCCTGCGATGGCGTGTTTTACCATTCAGTGACGTGTTTTGCCGTGCCGCTCGGTTTTCTCGGTCGGACGGGCCCATTCTGCGGGGACGGGCGGCCCCGTTCGCTGATGGATGGCTCATAACCGGCCCGGAGGAGGGACGGACGGCCCGACCCGGACCGTGACGTCACGGCTGACGGACCGACCACCCGGCCGGGGCGGGCCGGGTCGATTCAGCCTCCCGTGGAACCTGAATGGACCGCTTTACAGCCCGGCTGGGTGTTTGGCTGACTGTTCAACGCGTGCCGGACGGTTTTTGAGACACGTTTGCTCTCACGTCATGGTGAGAATGGCGGCGGGTAAAGGAGATTTTTCAATTCTAGAAGTGGCAGAGTGCTATTTCTCTGTTTATTTGTAGATATGACCGTAGAGCATACATGGAATAAGACTGACAGAGTGCTTCCTCGCCAAGGTGCGGTGCGTTTTATTGATGGTGGTTTTTTTCGTGTGAAGGCTGCTGCCTGCATAAGATATTCTGTTATAAATTATGCATTCGCAATTGCTTATTAACCCTATTCCTGGCGGGCTCCGCCGGGACAAGAAACTGGCGGGGGGGGGGGGGCGATTCGGCCCCCCCTTCAGATCTCAAAACTACACATCGCAGCGACAAACGGTAAACGGCATCGGATACGCACGGTCAAGGTCTACAATTTTTACTAAGGTCATTTTCAGGTCAGGTCAAAGATGACGTCACAGGGGTCGAAAAAGTCAAAATGGCGGCGCTAGATATGGAGAGAGTTTTTCTCGAATAACTTTCGAATTAGTCAAGATAGGAACAAACTAAGGGCATCATCGTGATCCTCTCGTCAATCCGCATCGAATGCTATATATGTTGACCTCGAAAGGTCAAGGTCAAAGGTTGACCTCAGGTCACGTGACCTCGAGGTCATCATGTATATCATTCGGTGCGTCTTGACGAGCTGAACACAATGAGACCATCCACGCGTCTGTATCTTGTTCCTGTACGGAGTTATTGGCCAAAAACCTTTGGTGACCTTTGATGACGTCACATGACCTCACAGCTGCCCAACAGCAAAACAGACCTCAAGGTAGTGAAGGTTGATCGTATATGAAGTCATGTATGGTATATGGGGCCATTCTGACCCGTTTTAGTGGTAAAAACAGGGAGTTGATTTTTCCCCCATTGACTTACAATGGGGAGGTCGCGAAACTGACCTGACCTTAGGTCACCGATATCAAAATTCCGAGATATACAAATTGCACATACTGGTACCCTAACTAAAGCCTGAAGAGAAGAAATTGATCGGTCAAAAACTCTAGCTCTGGCGTGATTGCAAACTTTTCTGAGGTAGGGTCACCAAACCGCCTCTGGTGCCCTGACCTGAGGTCAGATCAACTCAAAATTTTCAGACATGTTGCGTAGAAGCCTTTTAGGAAAAGTCAGAAAATTTGAGCTTCCTAGCTCAACGCGTTTGGAAGAAATAACCAAAAAACCTCAAGGGGGGGCTCCTGAGGCCCCCCCCCCCGCCAGGAATAGGGTTAAAGGGGCGATGTCTCCACACGAAGAATGCTTTAATATTGTATAATTATTATCTAGAAGTTTTACCTTTATAAATTTATCTGCTTTGATTACGACGTAGCCGAAGGAATATCGAAGGGAACTAACCTGGGTGCCGCCTTGGAGTTAAGAGCATGTAGTGAATAGCAGTGCTAAGCTCGGTCCTACATTAACTCTGTACGGCGCTGAGGGACTGGGTCCGGCATCATTTACCCAGCGTCCGCCCAGCCGGTCGGTGGGACTACAGGGCCCAGTCGTACTCACGGCTATCTACTCGGCTCATTGCTCGGGTCCGCTGTACTCGGTTCAGCCGTCTCTCGGTCCCCCTGCAGTCGGCGGCGCCGGCTCCCCGGCCTGCTCCAATATGCCCGCCGCTGTTTGCAGTTAGTCGGGAATCGTTAGCGACTGCCGGCGGCCGGACGACGGCTCAGGTCGGCGGCGTAAATACTGCAGCGGTGCCGGCCGGGCCGACAACGTTACGATTTATGTGCACTTACCGAACAATCCGATTGGGTGGCCAGTTGACTTTTGTGGAACTTTGAGAGGTGTTCATGGATTCCGACAGGTTGGAGGCGCCGACCATTGTATAGTTGTGAATACCATCTCACTAACCAGGTTTTTCCGGTCAACTCCGATTCACCCAGTAGTACGACTATGGCTCACCCGTGCTCTGTATAGCCTACGATCCCGTCTGCTTTTTGTAACACCCGATCCCGTCTGTCTGACTGTAAGGCGCCCGCCGCCGAGCCATTGGCACCCAGCACGCGAGCTGGTGACTGTCGGAGACCGCCGCCGCCGGCCGGGCGGACGGTTAGCGCCCTTCCAGAAGCCGTTTTCACCTGTGTACGACTGATGTGCGTCATTTGGAGCGCCATTGTGGGTCCTGAATGGAGGCGCTTGACAAAGCTATGCACGTTTCAGCCGTGTTCGGTGATCAATGGACCGGCTCCTTGGCGCGGTCGGTCCGTTTCAGTCCGGGTAGGTCCGGGCAGCTCGGCCGTCAGTCCGCAGCAGCCAGGGCAGCCAGTGTGGCGCCGCCGGGCTAGTCATCGGTTCGACTCGGTCCGGGCAGCCATTGTGGCGCCGCCGGCTCGGCCCTCGTTCCGCAGTGGCTCGGGCAGCTCAGGGCAGCCAGTGTGGCGCCGGCCCGACTCTCGGTCCGCAGAAGCCCGGTCAGCCGGTGTGGCGCCGCCGGGCTAGTCATCGGTTCGACTCGGTCCGGGCAGCCATTGTGGCGCCGCAGGGTCCGGCAGCTCGGTCCGCAGTAGCCCTGGCAGCCAGTGTGGCGCCGCCGGCCCGACTCTCGGTCCGCAGAAGCCCGGTCAGCCGGTGTGGCGCCGCCGGCCGGGCTCTTGGCCCCAGCTACCCGGGCAGCTCCGGTCAGCCGGTGTGGCGCCGCCGGCCCGGTCCGGCTGCCCGGCCGGTACTAACGAGCTGATTGAGCGGCAATCATTGAGCGGCAATCGGCGCTGAGTAGCCCCAGACGGTGGCGTGACGGACGCCATATCGGTACCGGGGCCGACCGGGGACCGGGGCTGCACGGGGCTGACGTCACAGGGATGGGAGGGGAAGGCATTACCCCGGTCTGCCCCACTACCCCGCTCAGGAGATTCTGATGGGCTGGCGGATGGTGAGACAGAGTGCACCCCATTACCCCTGCCGGTGAATACGGCCGCACACAGGGGAAATACTCACTATCGGTGGACTCCTTGGCTGTGACGAACGCTTGCGTCAAGTCGGGGCCGGAGGTCCCTTTGGAGACAGCCAACGCATGGCGGGGTGGTGCGCCAATTGTGACGGTAATAGAAATTACTAATGGCAATGGCTCCCCTCTGAGCACCAGTGACCTCTGCGGTCCCGGTGACCTAGATATCCTAAATCCCATCCTCTGGCCGGTGCTCATCCTGATCCCTCGTCTGCCCGGGGTCCGGGCCGGTGGACCCGTCCTTGGCCGGCCGGCGGCCGCCGCGCGGCGCGGCCCGTCTGACGGGGCGATCCGCCGTGCTAAAGGTCGGCGGCGGCTGTCAGATCTGCGCGTGCGGCCCTAGCGGCCGTCACTCCCAGCCGGGTGTGTACCGTGGAGTGCCGCGGAACTCTGGCGGAGTGCCGCGGGTGGCTGGTACGCTGAGTGCCGCGGGGCGCTAGTGGAGTGTCGGGCTGTGAGAGCTGGTGTGGCAGAGTGTCGGGCCTTGCGGTCTGGAACAGCGGAGTGCGTTGGTGCCGAGTGCCGGAGTGCGTGCACTGACGGTTCGACACAGACGGGATGGCCGACTGCACCACCTGCTCATCGGTAAGAACGGGGTGCGACATCTCCTGGGCACCGATACCGCCGTTCCTTGTGGGATGTTGACGCTCCCCTATTTCTGAATCTAACGCCAGCCTTGGCGTTTATAAAAGACACAAATACAAAAGCGCTTATGAAAGACGCTTATATATTTATTGTGAGCTCCTCTGTCGTATTGTGAAGAGGTGACGGGCTCATCTGGGGCTGTTTTAATCGCCGCCCGATAACAGGCGTGACGGTCCCGCTGTCTTCTGCCCGACCCTGCTGACCGGCCTGGCCACTGGCCAGTGGCGAATCGGTCCGCAGGGGGCGTCATACTGACTGAAATGACAGTACAGCCCGCTGGGGAGGTGTATTATAACTGTCCAGACTGCTCACAGGGAAAGATGGGCCTGCCTATACTCGGGAGACTGGGGTGGTGCAACTGCCGAGTCGGTCCGCTGAGGGTACGCTGGTATTGTCGAAACTGCCCGCTGGCGGGACGGCTGAACTCTGACACATGACGCGTCACGTCAGTTATCGGCTCCACGACTGACCCCGCGGCCAGCCGCGCTGGTTAGATTAGCCAGATTAGCCATCCTTGTTACTTATTAGTGATAAACCGTGGCCTAGCTTTGTGTATCGCTGTTCGTGACTGCGTGGCTGTTTTTCTATCAACCTTTCACAGCCTTGCGTGTGTTTTTTTTTGCATGATGACTTTTGATAGTTTTAACCAAGCTTCGTAATGCTCTTTTTAATTTTCTTTTTTGGGGGGTTTATTTTGTATCTTCTGTTGTAATCAAAGGCGTGTTTCAAAGTTCCATTCTGTGTTTCAAAGACATTCCGCATGGTTTGGAGCTGGTTGCAAGGTATTTCTATCCTGACCAGAATCACCGACATCCAATACGTTCGGCTGAGATCTTCCTGAGACTGGTTCGCCCCGCTCTAAATCCCGTGCTGATGAGAACGGTCCGCAGCCGTGTTCCAAGGCCCGTGTTGGCCGGCGTAGCTACACTCGGCAGACGCGAGCCCAAGCCGATAGACAGCGGAAATGGATTCCGTCTCAGAGGGTGGCCTGAGCGTGCTGCTGCGGAAGATGAGAATAGAGGGAGAGAGGGAGGGAGAAAGAGGAGAGTATGTTGAGAGCAGCCTAAGTTTTGCTTCGAATGCCGACTCTGCTTCACGCGGCAAGCTCTGTTATGCCAGCGCTGCGCCTCCTTTGTGTCTTTTTACGTGGGTACGTGGCTGCCGAATGTTCTTGTTTTCCTCTCGGTGCTCCCGGGGCTGGTAACGGGAGCCTCTCAGATCGTGTTTGGTGCGCCTGTTTTACCTCGGCCGAGCCGTGCTGCGCTGGCCGGTACGATGCTTTGGCCGGTGACTGGTCAAGTGGTCAGGACGCGGACAGACCGGGGTTGGAGTTTCACTTCCTTATTTCCCCTGGTAGTGGAGTTGTGTGGACGGAAGTGTCCGGAGCTGTAAACTCCGGTTTACTCCGTGCCGTTTTATCCCCAAAGGCTGCCGTCTCGACGACTCCGCGCCTGTTCGATTGCTTCCTCAGGCGGGCTCTCTTCGTGTCCGGTTAGGGTAGGGTGGGGCAAAGCGCCCACCCTAACTTTCCAGCCCCAGTATCTCTTTATCTTACAAATTTAAAAGACAACTAGGTAGCTGATCTGGTAGCTCATTACCTTGGCTTTCTTCGAATAACACATCAGAAACAAGTGGCATGCATGGTTTTTGAGACATGCCATCCGAATTGAGAGGACTACAAATCGGGCGTTTTGCCCCACCCATGGGGCATAACGCCCATATGAGTGGGGCATAACGCCCAGTCCTGAACGTTTCATTACACGCTCGGTACTCTGACAAAAGAATGCAGTATTTATCCATTCTCATTTCGTTTGACTTTAAATCGATAGATTACACCACTAAACACATCTTGAACACTGTTGTTACCACCCCACTCCTCATTCAGTCAACGGGCTGTCACCGCCTTGGAGAGCGGAGATTAGTTCGTGCGAATAAATTGTTCCAGGCGATACTAACCAGAGGCCTCTTGCACCAAACTACCTAGCTAGGTAAAATCGTAAAACCGGTTTCAGAATAAGCTAATCTAACGGTGGTAAATTTGTTTGCAATAGCCCAATACATAATCCTACATGTGCTTGCAAAATTTTGCATGCAAATTGTTACATTTGAGACTTGGACTGGGTATACGATGCAAAATAATCCAAGCATTGGTGCAAGAGGATTTTGGTGCAAGAGGCCTCAGATTACATAATTCATAAGAATCCTGAGCATTAGAAACGTATCCCGACACTCACTTTCAGCCGAAAATGTTCGCAAATACCCGTACTGTATAACACCCATTAGGGGTAAAACGCCCATGATGGGCGTTCTTCCCCACACCAAAGTGGGCGTATTACCCCCAAAAGCACATTCAAAACGAAGTCCACCAAAATTAAGCGTGTGACGATTGTGTTGCAAACCAGTAAATGCTCAAAACATAGCCTAAATCCGCAGGTTCTGCGTAGCTAAATTTCATTGCCTACTTTAATCTCTATCAGACAAAGTTTTAGTAGTATGAAAACATGTAATTTCTAAAAATTGTCTGAAATAAACTAATCTTTATCTTACGTCCAGAACAACCCACTTGTAGAACCGAAAAAGGGGGCAAAAGTAGATTCCTGCTCGTTCTTCAAAATGGCTATCGAGAATTCTTCGAAAAGTCGAGCACTTCATAAAAAAGAGGGGTGGGCGTTTGACCCGCCCTGGGCGCTTTGCCCCACTCTACCCTATATGTGACGCAATGTCTGGGATTTCAGAGCGTTGACCCGACGCTGCTCGCAGAGGCCATTTTCCTGTTCTAACTTCTGAGGCGCTGTTTGCCCTCGCCACACAGTAGCTGAGCTGCCGGCGAGCTGTCTGACAATGACCGGAGCTGAAATACAGCTGTTTGACAAAGACCGGAGCTGAACTACAGCTGTTTGACAAAGACCGGAGCTGAAATACAGCTGTTCGATGCCGCTATTAACTAGGCCTAACGATCGTTTAAACCGCTACGGCCGGCCGATTCTGCGCCCACTGAGGCCAGCGACAGTCAATTTGCATGTTTCCTGGGTTCGTCAATGGAGCGGCACTCCGGCCAGCGCTGCATGGATAATGAAATTGCTGCTCGCTGATGGTCTGATGGCTGAGCTGAGAAATAGAGCTTGTTCTGTTGGTTCAACATGTTACGGCTGACTTTGGACAAGCTGTCCTATAAACCATTTCCCCACATGTTGATTTCGCCATTCAAGTTTATGAAGTGATAACAGTGCAGTCATTGAGTTAGCGTATACTCTCGCCTCTCCATAAGCCTTTGTAGGAATATTGGCATTGTCCTTCTCTGCCCATCCCAGACAGCCTACGCACACGTGTTGCGCGTGCCGCGTTCGTTTCCAGTGTTCCACACGTTCGGCTGTGGACGTGATGTCCGCGGACGCGCTGACTTTGGACGGACATTGGCCAGGTCAGGTCCGGGCGGGTCTCCTGTCGCGGTAGCACTGGGTCTCGCGCCTTAGTGCCCCGCCTGAGCCACTGTCGTGTCAGTGTTATGCCGCGGCGCCCGCCCGCCGGTGGCCCTGTTGGACCCGTCCCGTGCCGCGGCGCCCGCCGGTGGCCGCCCCTGTTGGGCCCGTCCCGTGCCGCGGCGCCCGCCGGTGGCCCTGTTGGGCCCGTCCCGTGCCGCGGCGCCCGCCGGTGGCCGCCCCTGCTGGACCCGTCCCGTGCCGCGGCGCCCGCCGGTGGCCCTGTTGGACCCGTCCCGTGCCGCGGCGCCCGCCGGTGGCCGCCCCTGCTGGACCCGTCCCGTGCCGCGGCGCCCGCCGGTGGCCCTGTTGGACCCGTCCCGTGCCGCGGCGCCCGCCGGTGGGCCTGTTGGGCCCGTCCCGTGCCGCGGCGCCCGCCGATGGGCTGTTGGTCCCGTCCCGTGCCGCGGCGCCGGTGGCCGCCCCTGCTGGACCCGTCCCGTGCCGCGGCGCCCGCCGGTGGGCGCCCCTGCTGGACCCGTGCCGTGCCGCGGCGCCCGCCGGTGGCCCTGTTGGGCCTGTCCCGTGCCGCGGCGCCCGCCGGTGGCCCTGTTGGATGCCGCGGCGCCCGCCCCTGTTGGGCCCGTCCCGTGCCGCGGCGCCCGCGGGTGGCCCTGCTGGACCCGTCCCGTGCCGCGGCGCCCGCCGGTGGCCCTGTTGGACCCGTCCCGTGCCGCGGCGCCCGCCGGTGGCCGCCCCTGTTGGGCCCGTCCCGTGCCGCGGCGCCCGCCGGTGGCCCTGTTGGGCCCGTCCCGTGCCGCGGCGCCCGCCCGCCGGTGGCCCTGCTGGACCCGTCCCGTGCCGCGGCGCCCGCCGGTGGCCGCCCCTGTTGGGCCCGTCCCGTGCCGCGGCGCCCGCCCGCCGGTGGCCCTGTTGGACCCGTCCCGTGCCGCGGCGCCCGCCGGTGGGCCTGTTGGGCCCGTCCCGTGCCGCGGCGCCCGCCGATGGGCTGTTGGTCCCGTCCCGTGCCGCGGCGCCGGTGGCCGCCCCTGCTGGACCCGTCCCGTGCCGCGGCGCCCGCCGGTGGGCGCCCCTGCTGGACCCGTCCCGTGCCGCGGCGCCCGCGGGTGGCCCTGCTGGACCCGTCCCGTGCCGCGGCGCCCGCCGGTGGCCCTGTTGGACCCGTCCCGTGCCGCGGCGCCGGCCGGTGGCCGCCCCTGTTGGACCCATCCCGTGCTGCGGCGCACGCCGGTGGCCCTGCTGGACCCGTCCCGTGCCGCGGCGCCCGCCGGTGGGCGCCCCTGCTGGACCCATCCCGTGCTGCGGCGCACGCCGGTGGCCCTGCTGGACCCGTCCCGTGCCGCGGCGCCCGCCGGTGGCCCTGCGCCGCCGTCTCCGCTCTGTCGGCTGATCACGTAATCGATCATGGCCGCCACGCCGCCGGGCCGGGCTCCCACGTCTGTGTGGCGGCTGCTCCGGTCCCCCGGGGACTCGGCTGATCGCCACCGGCGCCGCTCCATGTCGCGGTACAACACCTGCCTATGGGCAGAGGGTCCCGGCGGACGAACGGGCTTAGTGGAATGACGTCAGTAATACAGCAATGGCTTATTGGAGCACTCGAACCGTCATCCATCGGGGAATTATGACGAGCGGAGGCTGTGTTGTAACATGGGAAATACCCAATTCAGTTTTGTGCGGTGAGTTATTGAAGGCCGCATTGTTGAACATCAACAGGAGTTTCAACGAAATACTATGATCTGACCTTTCCCTCCTCGTCTTCACCTCCGATGACACTGTGTCGATTATCCAACCATTCCGCTCTGTCCTCTAGTCTCATGAGCGCCTCTGCCAGTGTTCTGCCGATGCTGACAATACTCAAACCACTACCCAGTTATACCCCCCCCCCCCCCAGGAGTGTGCAGTTGCTAGCATTCTGACCCGTCTCTCGCGCCTTATAGGAGTTTAGCTGCCGGTGTTCTGACTATTCCTCTATCCTCAGGAGTTGAGCTGACAGTTTTCTGACCCGTCTCTCGTGCCTTTAGGAGTCTGGCTGCCGGTGTTCTGACTAGTCCCTCCTCTGTTCAGGAGTGCGGCTGCCAGTGCTCGCAGTGCGACCGGCACGAGCTGCAGCTGCACCGCGAGATCGAGGCTCTGAAGCAGCGCGTCATCGAGCGCGACTTCCACATCCTGCGGCTGGAGACGAACGTACTGCGCGAGGCCGAGCGGTACCCGCACGGAGAGGTCGGGGAGCTGCGCAGCCAGCTGGGACAGTGGCAGGACAAATATGACCGGTGAGTACCCCGGGGGGAAGGGAAGGGAAGGGACAGTCAGCTGGGACAGTGGCAGGACAAATATGACCGGTGAGTACCCCGGGGAGGGAAGGGAGAGATAACTGAGACAGTGGCAGGACAATTACGACCGGTGATTACTCCAGGGGGGGGGGGGGGAGGAAAGGGACAGACAGCGGTGCCAGTGACAGGACCAGTGCGACCGGTGAGTACCCCGGGGAGGGAAGGGAGAGATAACTGAGACAGTGGCAGGACAATTACGACCGGTGATTACTCCAGGGGGGGGGGGAGGAAAGGGACAGACAGCGGTGCCAGTGACAGGACCAGTGCGACCGGTGAGTACCCCAGGGAGGGAGGGAGAGATAACTGAGACAGTGTCAGGACAAGTACGACCGGTGAGTACGCCAGGGGAGGGGGGGGGGGAGGGGGCAGCCAGCTGGGACAGTGGCAGGACAAGTACGACCGGTGAGTACCCGGGGGAGGGAGGGACAGCCAGCGGGGCCAGTGGCAGGACAAATATGACCGGTGAGTACCCCAGGGGAGGGGGAGGGAAGGGACAGACAGCTGGGCCAGTGGCAGGACAAATATGACCGGTGAGTACCCCAGGGGCGGGGGAGGGAAGGGACAGTGGCAGGACAAATACGACCGGTGAGTACCCCAGGGGAGGGGGGGGGGGCAGCCAGCTGGGACAGTGGCGGGACAATTACGACCGGTGAGTACGCCAAGGGAGGTCATAACTTGGATGTGCACGCGCATTGTTGTTGTTTTTTCGTTGTCGCTTTGTGGGAAACCAGAAAGGGTAACAAAGCGGTGGCGCGGCGCTGCTGTGATGAACAATATTGGTTATCGACGCGCCGGTTCATCTAACGATCTCAGTGAATGGCGTCCGCAATGGCCGTAATGACTGCCCAGATCGTTAGCGAGTTCCTGGGCGGCCAGCGCTCCGGCTCATCCGCTGTGTTTACCTACCGACCGGTGGCTGGCTGCGAGGTTAATTAGATGGACTGGTTGTTCCCTGAAATTGCGCCTGTTGACCTGCAATTCATAGGTTTCTGCTTAAGACATGGTATCACGATCAGTTAATGCGTGGGTAAATGGTATCATCCTCCTTTTTGGACGAGACTCATCAATCATTACAACATTTATCCAACCATGCTGATTGCTCTCCCTCCTGCCATGTTTCCCGCTCTGGCTCCTCCGCTCCCCGCTCTGCCTTTCCCCGCTCCCCGCCCTGCCTCCTCTCGCTCCCCGCCCTGTCTCCTCTCGCTCCCCGCTCTACCTCCCACTCCTTTTCTCTGTCCTCGCTCCCCGCCCGGTGATGGCGGTGTAACGGCGCCGGTCCCGCGGCCCACGGCCGTTCAGCAGCGCCCGGGCTCGGCTCAGCTCCTCTGACGGCGGCCGTACCGCCTCTCCGAGCGCCGAGAGACGCTTTGTTCCGAACGGACGGCCGCCAACTTTGCGGCTTTGTCCGCGCCCGGGGAGGCATAGCGGCGCTGTTTAACCGCCGCCTGGCCCGTCTGCTCCCAGACTGCTGGAGGCGCACAAGAAACTGCAGCGGGTCAACCAGAATCTGGAGGACAAGCTGCTGCGCATCGTCGACAAATACGAGACGGACAAGGCGGCGCTGAGCCAGGACGTGGCCAACCTGACCACGCACCTGGTCTCGGCGAGAACCGAGCTCAACAGGCACAGAGACCTCAGTGTGAGTATATATCAACAGGCATAGAACCCTACCCCTGTGTCAGTAGCTGACAGGCAGTCTCCTAGCTAAGGGAGTAGCTCAACAGGCAATATGTTTACGGGTATCTTAGTAGTTCTCTTACTACGCACACATTTTGGGCGACAATTATTGGTTTAATTTTCCTTTTATTGCCCTGCTGAATCCCTCAGGTGCTCCTCTGTCGTTGTTTCCTCTGCCCGTGCCGGCCTGTTCTGCTATGCGCCGGATCCCCTGAGCTCGCCTGTCCCGGCCCACCTGCGACCCGACCTCTGCGGGCTCGGCTTTGTTCGCTGCGAAATAGATGATATCCCGCTCTGGAATACGGGGAACTAATTACTTTGGCTCAAATGGTGCCTGTCCAGAGATGAATGCCGTCCGTCAGCCGAAATTTATCTTTATTGGAGAGATTAGGAATTAATGGTATCAGATTGTTCCATTTTCTCCCGGGGCAGGTTGATATGCGTTGATTAGCTGGCGCTGTTCCAATTTCGTAGCTGTTTAGCCGTCCACCAATGAAATGTAACCGGTCGGCCGGTACTGTTCGTTGCATCAGTCGCCAGTTGAGCTGTTTCTAACGCGCCGTGGTTTAACATCAATTATTGACGGCCGCCATTGTCGTCAGTGGCCGGCGACGGTTGACGTCAGCTGCACGTCCTTCGAGCGTTAAAATTTCACACCGGTGCCGCTCAGTCCGACCCTGCCCTATCAAACCGTGCATAGTCAGTCCATTGTGTCAGTGCCTGGGGACAGTCGGGGCTGGCCTGTCGCTGTTCTCCCCGGTCCGGCCCCGTCAGCGCTCCGTGTGTATCGACGGCTGGCCGGGTGCCATTTGCGTCACCGTGAGGTCACCGGAGCGCCGCGCTGGCCTGTCTCCGAGGGCCAGACCTTTACAGACGGACGGAGGGGGGGGGGGGGCTTTACACTTCCCTCCCTCCGTCTGTCTCTCCCTCTCTCCCTCTCCCGTTTCTCTATACTATCATCTTTTCCTCTTCCTATCTTTTCTCTCAATTCCCCTTATTTCTCTGCCCTTTCCCTCACTTCCTGCGCGTCCATCTTTACGAACATCCTGGGCTGTGTACTAGCCTCTTTAGCGTGTCTGTGCCGCATGTGACCTGTCCGTCTGTACTTTAGGAGCTGTACCGCAGTGACCTGTGTCAGGGCCAAGTAAAGCTGCATATACCACCTGGCCATCCAGCTGCTCCAGTGTGGCTGTACCGTCTCTGATCTGTCCCCTGTCCCTCCCCAGGAGCGGTACCGCAGTGACCTCCACCTGGCCATCCAGCTGCTCCAGTGCAAGCCGTCCACCTTCATCTCTCGGCGATTGGAGACGGTGAGTGGACAGTGTGGACGCCGTGGACAGCTGCTGTGGACGGCTGTGGTCGTTGTGGACAGTGTGGACGGCTGTGGACGGATGTGGACGGTCAGTGACCGGCTGTGGTCGGTGTGGATGGCTGTGGACTGGCCCCGCCCCCGGTACCGGCAGTTACTGTGTAACCCAGCCCGGACTGGGGACGCCTGCAGTGTCACAGCCCCGGCCCCACGCCGGTGCAGTACCTATCGATCCGCCGACGCTGCCGTGTACACAGAGTGTCGTAACGGCCCATATAGCAGCTGGTTAGAGGCGCCGGAACGGCCGTTACGTGTTGACCCTGTTGTAATGGGATGTCGATGGTGCTCCGATTCACAGCGCGTGGTGATGGATCCTTTGGTAAACCTCTCCTGTCGTGTCCGTGTTAGAGTCGGTAGCTCGACCAGCCGCACTGACACGGTGCCCTCGCCTCCCGCAGCTGCCGGTCGATCTCCAGCAGAAGGTGAAGTCCTGCCTGAACAGCCACCAGAAGGAGCAGCAGCAGCGCAAGCCGGACTTCAAGGTGATCCGGGTGCCCATCTCGACGTTTCCGCCCACGGCCATGGTCTACGCCGTCGATAAGGCGGGCGAAGGTGAGACTACGGCGGCTGCTGGGAGCTAAACTCTGAGCCGAGCCAACCAGAGCTGATATTTGAAACCATGGCTGAACCGATACTAAGCTGAGCTGAGCTAGTCTGATTGAGGACTGAGGGAGGATGGAAATGAGTTGAGTGAGTTCGATCAGGCTGAGTGAGGTAGGTAGTGTGGAATTGAGCGGGATGAGTGGACTCACTGGACCGAGCACTGAGCAGCGTGTAGCTGGGTGAGTGGCGTGTAACTGAGTTGGTCGGACAGCGTGCCGCTGGACGAGGGCCTCTCGACAGAGTAATATGTCCGTCGAGCTGCTCGGATATTGCGCAGTTGAGTAGTTTCTCACAGAGTGCTCCCGGTAAACAGGTTCTATTTGTTTTTAATTTTAGTCTCGGGGGGACTTTTTCGGCGGTGTTGTGTTTCGCTAAGAGTTTTCGTCATCTGGCGGTGTCGTATTTCAGCCGGGCTCGTTCGGCGGTAAGAGCGGCCCGTCGTTGGGGTTTTCATAAATAAGAAGCCGCGGAGTTTATGGGGGAGGGCGCTGCGCCGGCTGCTCGGGCGAGGCGGATGGAACGCAAGGTGTCAGGGAAGACGGTGCGGGCGGGCGACTCACTGGTGCTCCTCGGCATCGAGTTCGACCGCCGACTCCAGTTCGGAGCACACTGCCGCCGTCTGAGAAGACGAGTCCGCCCCCGCGTCGCCCACCTGAGACGCCTAGCCGGCCGCAGCTGGGGGCTGGACGAACAGGCTCTAAGAACAGTCGCCAACGGATATGTTCGGGGGGCTCTGGAGCACGCTGCCGCTGCATGGCTGCCCGCAACCGCGCCATCTCACGCCGAGCTCATTGAGCGCGAGATGAGGGCGGCCGCGCGGATCGTCACCGGATGCCCCCGCTCCACGCCGACACACGCGGTGATGGCGGAGGCGAGGCTGGCCCCCATGGAGGAGCGGAAGAAAGTCCTCGCCGCTCGGCTATTGGGTCGTGCCCTGGCGTTACCGCCGACCGACCCCCTGCGCAGGACAGCTGAGGCCTCGGCGCCCTCGCGGCTGTCTTCTGTGCGGGGGTGGCGAACGCTGGGCCGCCAGATGCTGGCTGAGGTGGAGGTCACCGCACCGATCGAGCCGGTGCTGCCTCCTCGCATCCCGCCGTGGGAGCGCGGAGGAAACGTCACCTTCTGCCTGGACGTGGGGCCACTACGAACCGGTGCGACAGAAGGAGAGAAGATACGGGCTGCCACCCGTCATCTTGCCGCTCTACCACAGAGAGCAACCTGGTTGTGGACAGACGGCTCCGTGGAGGGTGGCGTCAAGGACGGAGGCTCTGGAGCAGTAGTCATCTGGTCGGACGGAGAGGAGGAAGACCTGAAGACACCGGCCGGACGACACTGCTCCAGCTACCGAGCAGAGATGCTCGCCCTGGCGTCCGGGCTTGAGCACCTGCTCGACAACCCACGAGACCGTGACATCCCCATCGTGATCTGCACGGACAGTATGGCCTCCCTGGCTACCCTCCGGGCGGGGCCTACCGCGCAGACGTCACCGCTAGGCGTCAGGATCTGGCGGGCGTTCTCGCGGCTGTCCCGGGAGGGTCACCGCCCGATTCACGCTCAGTGGGTGCCTTCCCACTGCGGGATCGAAGGCAACGAGCGGGCAGACGCCATAGCAAAGGAAGCGGCGGAGCTACCACAGGAGGACATCCCCGTCGACTCCAGGACCATCTGCCGAGCAGTAGCCAGAGCCGCCAGAGAGGCTACTATCAAGAACTGGCCAGCCGGGTGGTTCCGGTCCGTGATGGGCGACCGCCTACCGCCCCGAGTTACCGGCTTGGAGCGGTCCAGCGCGGTGGATGTCCACCAGCTGAGGGCCGGACACTGGTCTGGTGCCCGGTCCTACCTGCACAGAATCGGTCGCTCCCCGTCTCCGATCCCAGGCGGATGCCAGGGGTGCAACAGAGATGACTGCAGAGAGTCCTGGTGCCCCCTGTGCCGGGAGGAGCCGGACAGGCCGGACCATGTCCTCCTCCGCTGCCCCGCCCTGATGGGGACGAGATCAAGGACGTGCTACACCATCCACCCGGAACCGGAGGAGGTCCGGGAGACCGCCGTGGTGGCGGCCCTGGCGGCGGCCGCCAGAGGCGCCCAGAGCCGACAGGCTACACTTCATTAGAAGCGGAGGGAAGAACAACAACAACAACAGGCGGATGGAACCGGACAGGTCGCTAGGCTGCAGCGGCTCTGCCGGATTCAAAGGTGTGCCGTTCTAAGAACCTGGTACTTTTTAATTGTCTCTTTTTTAAATAGTCTGAATAATATCCTCAGCTACATTGCAAAACCTGGCTTATTTTCGAGTTCACCAATGCTTTGATTGTATAAGGATTAAGGATAAGTGGTTTGCCTCAGGCTATGCCATTATATGTTCTTTATCCCCGAGTTGAGAATGTTTTCCTTTTAGGGATGCTAAATGCTCACACGGCCTACCTCTCCCAGGATCTGACGTCCTACCTTACCGTACCTCCCAGGACCGGCTGGCCCGGGGAGTGGACCTCCACTCTTCCACTGTTGTCTCCCTCAGGGAGCGCTCGCCGCGTATGGGAGCCGCCACCATTAGTGCGTCCCGTCCAGGCCGGTCGGGTATTCTGCCCATGTATTGCGCGTCCGTGTATTCTCCCCTGTCCTGTATTCTCCCGGTGCACTCTCCGGGTCGCTGCGGCCGTCCGCCGACCCTGCCGGCCGTGAGAACGGTCCGCCGCCCGCCGGCGGCCGTAATGGGTCCACCCCGGCCGGACGAATACCAATGGGTGCCACCGGCTCCTCTGTGGTGGTACGGGCGGGTCCTCTGACCAGTCCTCTGACCACCCGCGTGTAGCGGCTCTGGTGCGGTGTGCCGGGAGAGGGGGGAGGAGACAGACGTTAAAACGACGGCTCAGAATAAATACGCCGATGACCACTGTAGTCCGGGCGCCCAAAAACCCCAATTCATCATCATCATCATCATCATCATCATCATCAGTGACGTAAATAAAATGTTGTTCTCTCAAACTCACTCATTGGCGGCGCCATTTGCGGCGTTTCACTGAGCTATCTGCTCGATGTTCAATATTTGTCCGTGTCCAGGGTAACCCCCGCTGTCTGATCCCCCGATCGTTCGTCGTTGACCCTGTCCGCGATGCCGGCCGCCCTGTTGACTCTCTGTCCGTGATGCGGGGCGCCGGCCTGTTGACCGTCGGCCTTTGTTGACCCGTTGTCCGGCTGTGTTGACACGCTGTCCGGCCCTGTTGACCGGCGGGTTAGCCGACCGCCAATCAGTGGCCGTCAGATAGCACGCGGTCAGCCGTATTGGCCGACGGGCGTGTCAACCGGACCGTATTGATGGCCGAGCGGCCTGGTCTGTGATTGGACTCGGCCGAACCGCCCGGACGGAGTCTCCGGCCCAGCGACCGCGGGGCCTTCACCTTGGCCTCCGACTTCCGAGTTCTGTACCGTCTGGTCGGCGGTCGCTAGGAGACTGAGTAACCGGTACAGATATCTGATCCGACCCTCAGCCGATAAGCCAATATTGCAAATAGAACTCGGCAAAGAGCGTGGCTGACTGAACAGCACGGCTGTCAGGAGCCTCTCGTTCGGTTCATTTGATACGCCGACCCGTCCATTCAGCGGCGGTCGTCGGATATATGATGCGACACGTGACTGCAGGGCAGTGGTACTCCCCCTCCCGGATACTGGCGCGGCAGTGTGGTACCGTTTGTCTGCGCGACCCGTACCATCCGCCCTCTGCGGGCCGATCGGTCCCACAGCTAATGCGTTGTTTTCGCTCTCCGGCTGATTGTTTGACGACCGCATCGGATCCCGGTGGCGAGTTTAACTTTGTCGCAACGGGCCAGCGAATAATTGGACACATCCGCGTCCGCTGAACGGGTGTAGCGCGACCCGGACTCATCGGAGAGATGTGCGGTACATGGTAATTGATTCCGGGTTTGTTCGGCGGACAGACAACCTCTTGTCGCCAACTCCCTCACTGAGATGTCCAGTGGGCTGATATACGCCAGTTTAACTGGTGGTGTGGCTTCGCTTGAGCTTTTGCTAGAAAACTTGCTGCAATTGTTAGTCAGTTACCATACTTACTGTCTGCTAACTATTCAGACATTCAACTGGAAACTTGCAGACTTGTTCGTTTTGTGCTAATGCTGCATTGATAAACGTACAGGCATGAATGAGATAATAATGGATTGGTGTCTTCGCAGTTTTTGGCGACATTGAGCTCAGGCCTGCCATCTAGCGGGAGAATTGTCGTAAGTTAGGAGCAAGCCGAGTGAACGCCGCTGATTAGCATTGTGACACACGGGAGTGTGGTGTAGTAGCAGGCTTGTTGTGCAATTTTTCAAAAGGTTATGTCTTTATATGTCAGTAAAAGCGAAGAAATTAATAGATTTACGTGCAGGGTCAGTAATAAGATAAACAGTTCCATGTTATTTCCTCATTAAATCGTGAAACAGGGAGTTATTGGAGACTTCGCCAGCACGTGTCGTTTTCGCTATTTTTCACATGAGTCTCTACTTGGCCTAAATCAAACAAATTGTCCGATCAAAGAACAAAACGAACGTAAGTACTATCTATAAGTCTAATGAAAAACTTAAACGGAATTGCTAACGTCATTGCCGCTCAATATGTCATTCAGGACGCTCTATGAAAAGGACCCAACCGGTGGTGCGTAGTCGATGAAATTTCAGTAACTTTGGCTCCAACTCCGATTCCGGTATCCAAATATCGACTCCGACTCCTCCGGGCAGAACTGTCAATTCACACAGACTCCGACTCTTACTCCGCCTGCAGCCCTGGTAAGTCTGTGGAGTGATGACTTTTCGGTGACGTTCGACTCATACTCGGGCTACAGCTTTTAAAAATCAACCGACTCCGAGTAGGAACAGAACCGCTGGCTCTGACTACAACTTCGCAGCCCTGGCCCAAGATAGCTGCCTAAAACAACTTTTATGTGTGATCTTCTTCGTACACTGTTAATGCTATTTTAAACAAGGGGTGGAAAAGGGAGACGAAGCCTTTGCAAACAAGGATCTCCTGTTGCGAATCAATCAGCTGCTGGAAAAGAAAGGCATAAACACCACGCATCTCATTTCATCGTTTTCCTAACAGCTCTGCACCAATGTAAGCACTGATCAATGCAGTGCGAGCATCGATGTGACATTTGTGTACCAAGTTTGAGTGTTATCCGCCCAGCCGTTCTTGAGATATGGAAGCGGCACCCCGCACGTGCGCACGTGCAGTAACACCCCCATAGTGACACATGGAAATGCATTGGCCACTGGGTGCCTAACTATTGAAGTTTTACTGTAATTAGCCCAGCCATTGCGGAGTTACTTTATGTGGAACAATTTTGACACCCCTAAGTTGGCACGTGACACGTGCCGTAACATTAACTAAGATGAAGAAAATCGGGCGTAATTCGGAGAAGAAGGAATGAACCTACCAAATATGACATATGTAAGTGACATATTGTCAAACTGCTGTACCATTGTGAGTAAATGACCATATAAAAGGTCGTACAAGCCGATGTGACTGGGCGTTTCAATACACACCGTCTTACGCATTTTATTTTCGTTATTACCTAAAGACTGCTTGACGTTTTTGGCTTTCAAGCATTTAAGACGTTTTTTGTCGTCTCAGGTCCAGTAAGATTACCTCCAACTCGTGGGAATATGGACTTCAAGCCAACTAACACACCACACCCACGTGTGTCATAATGCTGAGAGATGGCGTTCACTCGGCTTGCTCCTAACTTACGATAATTCTCTCGCTAGATGGCAGGCCTGATCCCAATGTCGCGGATCCCAATGTTAATTTCCACGAGACACCAATCCAGTGTTATATCATCCATGGTACAGGTCTCGCGGGTTTTAGCGGTAGGTTTTGCACCTAGAAAATTTAGTGTACTTCAGGCTATATCTTCGTCGTCTTAAGCTTTTAAGTGTTGAAGATGCGATCGACTTGTTGGGTAACAAGCCGACCATGATCGTGTAAAATGGCTTCATCGTAGATCGATTAGTTTCTGAGATATAACCGGAAATGTAAAAGTGCAGAACCTACCGCTTAATCTCGCGAGACCTGTACCTACCACACATTAGTGTTGCAATTTATCACAAGGCTACTAGAGAAATTGTTTAATCATTTTGGTCGTTTTAGTTTCTTGTCCTGCATCATGACACTGTGTTCAACGTCTGTATGCGAGCCCAGTCACTTCTGAATGCTACTCGTGTCAGGCCTGACTTGCGTTTCCGCCTCCTCGTCCTGTGTAATGTGATGTGACGCCTCTCCCACCGGCCTTTTATAGTCTCTCAGTCTGTGCCCGTCCATGCGTAACCTGACTCTCCCCCGGCAGCAGAGCCGCCGCCGGAGCCATTCCTGTGCGTCGGGATCCATACCTATGGACCCTCCCGTCGTCGGGTCCACCCTGTGTGTGATCTGACCTCCCCCCGTTTCCCCGACAGCGGAGCCGCCGCCGGAGCCGGACGTGGCCGAGGACGAGCGCGTCTCGGCGGCCATCCTGGCGCGCGTGCTGGAGGAGCGTGAGCGCGAACGGTCGGCCGGCTGCTCGTGCGGCGCCGGCGGGCTCGGGCCGCGGCTGGTGGACGTCTCCTGTCAGACGCAGCCGACCCACATCGGTGACCGGGACGCCGTGTGCCAGCCGTTCGTGTTCGAGCCGGGCGGCCGGCGCGGCGGCGGCGCCGATCCCGAGCCGGCCGCGCTGCGCCAGACGGTGGTCATCGGCCGACCGCGGCCGGCGCGGCCTGTCAGCGGCGAGCCGGCGCCGTGGTGGCCCGCCGCCGAGCCCGCCGCCGACCCGGCCGTCTGGGACAACAACTTCGACTTCAGCCCGCCGCGCAGCCGCGCCGAGTCGCACCGCACCGAGTCGGTCAGCTCGTCCGAGTCCATGTCGGCAGCGTCAGCCGGCGCCCTGTCGGCGGCCGCCCTGCGCATGGAGACCCGGATCTAGCCCCGGGGACGGACCGGCCGGTCCGGGCCGGCGCTCTCACAACGAACCCGCTCCGGGACTGGGACTCGGTACCGCGCCGTGTGAACTCTGGTGTGAAAGCTGCCCAGACCTCCGCGGCACCGCTCCCACCCGTGCCGTCACTGGTGAGTAGTGATGACGTCAGTGACGTGCCAGCAGGGCCGGGCCGGTATCACGTCAGTACCTGAGACTGTCGCCGGCTGCGCTCCGTTTCAGGAGTGGTCCGCTCAGTGTAGGCGTCTGGCCGGGCCGGGGGGCCTCAGCGCCGACCGCGCCCCTTCACCAGTGTGTGGTTTGACGCTTAGGGTCACAGCTCGTTTGATGCCCAGGGTCACAGCCCGCCACCCGCCGCCTGCTTCCTCTGACGGTGTCGTGGCCTGACGTGCACCGTTTGAGCACGGCTGGGGGCAGTTACTGACAGAGAGGCAGAGTTTCTGGCAGTCCTAGGAGGGGTCCTGGTGCGGCTGCAGGCGGGGAATAGAACCCATAGGTGCTGCGGCGTGGTGCGCTGCCTGGCGAGAATATGCTCTTTGGTGAGCCGACATTCCTAAGGATCACTGCGAAATGTGTGTATTTTCGGTCTGGAATGGTTCCTGTGCTGCCTGCCTAGCATAATTGCCTGACGTCCTCATGACTGACATCGCTGGTGTTTTGCCTGTACGAACTGCAAGATGCTGTTTTCCTGTCGGGCTAGCTGAGACATTAGACATATCTTGCAGTTTGTGTCACAAAATGTGAACTTGGTGCGCCAGATTTCACATGAGCTTGTGAGCGGTGTGTCCGCTGCTTTAGTTTTCAGCCGAGTATGTAACTTAGTTCCCTATTTGACGTGGGCCCGAGTTCAGGCCCAGTCATGGAGAGGGCGACCTCAACTCTCGCCCGGACCCCGTATCGTGATCTGTGACTGTCGCCTCTCCGAGTCGCGGCCGGACGAGCGGCCTAATGACGGAACTGAGCCAGTCCGTACCTCTAGATCTAGACCGACCGTACGACCCTCCCTTCCTCCCTGTTAGGAGGCAGGCTAAGGCCAGAGTCAGCGACTGGGACAGGGTTCCGCGCCGACGGAGTACCTCGTTTGGTGTTTTTTCTCCCGGGTGGCTGCAATTGCTGAGTTTGTGCGCTGTGACGCCGCACGGCTCGGGCGGCTCAGTTGTAGTTGTGCCTATTTATTGCGCCCGGCCGGCCGCGCTCGGGTGTTCCAGGGAGCCGTTTATTTTGTTGAATTGCTCTGGCGCCGCGTGGGGCCCGTCTGAACGGATATGTCGTGCCAACGCGCCGGTATAGAGTGTGTATTGTGTCGTAAACAGCGCTGACCATTACATCCTATCATGGACACACGATCACGGATATGTTGAAATACATATGAACTGCACATTGGTGGCCGTCTGAATGGACGGATCTGGTAGCACCGCGTCACTGGGCGGCCGGCAGAATGGACGGATCTGGTAGCACCGCGTCACTGGGTGGCCGGCAGAATGGACGGATCTGGTAGCACCGCGTCACTGGGCGGCCGGCTGAATGGACGGATCTGGTAGCACCGCGTCACGGGGGGGGGGCGGCTGAGGTGTGAAGAAAACCACCGCCTCCCGACATACGCCGGTTCACAAACACTGAATCACAGGAGCTACGAAGCGACACGGAAACTGTAGATTTGTATTGGACGCTCGCGCAGGGCGCCGCTGTGTCTGTATAAGATCCTTTCTCCGTCCGTAATGGCGGCACACACGGGGTCCTGTGTTCGCTGAGCCACTGGGCAGCGACGACAAGACCTGCTCAGTGCGAGATCGGACCCCGCTCGGTGCCAGAATGATAACACCGTATTGATCTTTGGCAGGAGACGCTGGCACCTCTCAGCTGTCAGCGCTCAGTTGGGTTATTATCGATAGGACGACGCCATGACTTCTAGTTCCCTGGCTGATGCCAACTCGAGCATAAACTCTCGGTTGCCATGACAACCGTGTGATGCGTCACAGAAATGCTACGGTTGCCTCGGGAGCTCCCCCGAGCTGCTGAGACAGCCCGGGGAACTGACCGAGCGCTCCTGTGGACTGAAAAGACCTAGCTCCTAAACAGTGACCTCAACCAAACCCCGACTAGTCTGCGGTCCATTAACATCTGTCTGAATACTGAGCCGGCGAGCGGCGGCGGGTGGCACATCAAACGTCGGCCCCGGACGGCCGGGTCCGTGTCGATATATCACAGTTAACGCACGCAGCGCGTTCACAGGCGGACGGAGTGCGCGGACGGGACGGACGGGAGGACGGACGCGGCTTACACACGACGGGAGGCGCGGCCGCGCGCACCTCCACCCCACCCCTTACGAAAATAGAATAGACCGATGAAACGCAACAAACGCGAACAAACGGGGTACGTCACACAGGGGTTAGCTGCCGCTGGACCGGAGGCCGTCCTTCGGCAGGGGCAGATGGCGCCACCGGCGAGTAGGCCCTCCAGCCGCTCCAGCCGACCGCAGCTCAGGGAGGGCTTAGTTCCTCCGCCGTCCGTAGGGAGGCGCTGCCACCTCCTTAGTTCCCCATTGGCCGGCAGAGCGCTAACGCAGACCTAGTTCCTCCGTCGGCCGCCGGGCGGCGCTGCCGTCGGCCGCAGTTGCCCGTCCGGCCGGTAGGTGGCGGTCGGGCGGCTCAGATGGACGGGAAATGCTGGAACGAGCCGCGGGAGAGCAGGCTGCGCGTCTCGGGACTGCTGTGCGAGCCCGAGTGGCCGCCCGTGATGTTGGGCAGCAGCATCGAGCCCGAAGTCGAGCTGGCGTTCTGCGGACACAGACGGACGGACACGGCGTCACCATCACGGGCTCATACGTCACAGTCGCGACCACGCGCCACACGACACATCCGCGAATTCATATCCTCAAGTCAACCTATCCGCGCTTCTATCCTCAGGATACAGAAATCCTTCTCCTCCACGCCGCAACCCCCTTCCGGGCTGGACAGGCAACTTTATCTCATGCGGCCTGCTCCCTTGGAGCGGCACCGCTGCTCCTTAGGGAGCGCACCCCGTAGCCGGGTGCAGTGAGTGCCTTGGGGCTGGGTGGCCTGTCCTCTGGACGGGCTCAGCCCCGGCGACTCACTAGGGTGCCTGCCCAGACCAATGTCTCCCCCTAATTCCTATCATCCTTCCGGCTCTGCAATGGTCTTGTCGACCGAAAGGGCCTAACCCAACAAAACAAACAAACAAATCCTCAAGTCGTGCTCACGTTTTCCGACGTTATCCTCACGATACAGACGTCATACGGAAGCAGACCGTGTCATACTCACGATTACAGACCGCCAGGGTCACGGCACGAACGCAGATCTCATACTCACGGTTACAGACGTCACACTCACGGTGAAAGACGTCCTCACACTCAAGGTTACAGACCTCATACTCACGGTTACAGACGTCCTTATACTCACGGTTATAGACGTCCTCACACTGACGGTTACATACTTCACGCTCACGGTTGTCGGTTACAGATGTCACACTCACGGTTACACATGTCACACTTACTGTTACAGACGTCCTCACACTCACGGTATTAGACGTCCTCACCTCACGGGTACAGCCGTCATACATATACTCATGGTAATTCACGTCCTCACACTCAAGGTCACAGACGTGACACGACTCAGGAACGGCACAAAGGCCAGGCCAATGCGCCATCGGGCCACCGGCACACAAGGGTAGCCAAAGTGAGCGAAAACCCAACAGTGTGTGCCTCTATTGGAACGATTTGGTCGCTTCACGGTACTGCAATATCCAATACAGCTAACAAGGCGTTAAATGCGAGTGCCGTGTCGTCAAGCTGTCAGTAGCCGCTGGCCCGTCAGCCGGTCCAATATTTCCCGGCGCTGCGGCGGGTGGAGCTGTGAGTGTGAGCCCCCGGAGCGGCCGCCGCGCCGTCCGGAACAGACCGCGTCAATGAGCCAGTAATGAGCCCAGCTGAGGGCGGCCGGCTGGCGCTGACAGACGGGAGTGTGCTCCCGGCGCTGACAGCCGCTCCCGCAGCCGGGGAACGGGACTGGGTATTGGGTCCACGGACACGGCGCTTCTGATCATGGGCTGAACATTAGCCGGCACCTGTTACCACGGGACGGATTGAGTCCGTACGGTATACATTTAAACGGATGCAAGGTACCCTTCTTTTCTACTTCTTGTTTATATTTTCATATAGTTTCAATCATTGAAATCTCAGCAAGCATGTGTCTGTCGAGTGTCGATCGCACCTTACTGCCTCCGTTTACAATACGAGCTGCAGCTACAACAATATGCTGATTGTTATATACTGATCCTGGACACGGGCTGGGCTGGGTGAATGCCCATTGTTTATTTATTCAGTCAGTTGAGGTACTCGTGTTGCGGGCCATTTTCTTCTTCGGTAGTTTTTCTCAGCTTTTTTAGTAGTTTTTCTCAACTATGCATACGGAATTTTGTTACGTCCGTTTATTATAATTTCTTTTTTGCATGCCATGCAAGTAAACATCCAATAACTGCACGAAGAGATTGAATGTCGGAGGTGTAGACAAATAACTATGTACCGTCCAATAAAATCAAATACCGGCGTTTGCCGTCTCCCGGGAGACGCTCCCAGCTGGGGCTGCTATTGACCGCGCACTGCGGCAGCAGCTCGGTGCCGAGAGGCGGCTCATTACCCGCCCCTGTTGACTGGCGCACCTTCTCAGCACTCCTCAGTCAAACGCAATAACGCGCCGCGCTCGGCTCCACTGCATGCCGCCGCGTCCGGCCGCGCACTCATATGGGCCGCCACGCGCCGATAATACCCCAATACTGCAAAAGAATGGCTTCATCTCGGCGTGCCAATAGCGGCGCAGTGCGGCGAGCGGCGGCGCTGTTTGGCCTGAGGCGGCGCGGCGCGGCCAGCGCTGCAGTCGTGCTCCAGGTCAGACGGCGAGCGGAGCTGCGGCCGTCCGACCTCCGCGCTACTCTGAGCCCCGCCCGCCGACCGCCGGGACGCCAAACAGGCTCACCCGCCGGCCAAGGACAGTGGTCTCTGCCGCCGACCGACCGTCGGACTGCACTCCCAGAGGTCGCCCTGCCCTATCACCCAGGCTGACACCAGCTCGAGCGCCGAGAGATCGCCGTATCATTGGTCAGCGCGGGCACCGCCGACTTTCAGGTACGGACAGACCGAGAAATAACCGGTGTATGAGTGTCGACAGATCAGCAGACGATAGCGTCCGGCCCCGTGGACGTGAACCGTGAGTGAGTGTATGGGCGAGAGGGACAGGAGTGGGAGGGCATCGGGTCCGTGCCACTTGTGCCGTTTGAGCTGCGGTGCCGCTCACTGGCCGGCCGATTCAGGAGGAGCCAGGGGTAGAAATAGGCCGACGGGGATCTGGCACATATGTATATGTGAGACTGTCGGGGATGTGGATCAAACTGGACACTGGTGGCCGGTGGGATGTGGAGTGGACCAAACTATAAGGGTGTGAAGTGTGAACCCAGACTAGCAAAATGTCGCCGGGTGTAAGTGTAGACCCATGCACCGCTACTCACAGGTCTGACGATAACACGGATCATGGGAAAACTCGCTGCTCATAATGGGTGCGGGAAAGCACTAATGCGGAAACGGTGTTTTCGGGACGGTGGATCGTGAAGGGCACACCACTCATGACGGCATGGCGGCTGACAGGTCTCATAAGCAATGCTGCCTTTGACCCAGATATTTTATGGTCACTTTTCATGCGTCCTCCGACCGCCGACGCTTGGATAAGGTCGTGCACATAAACCTAGAAGCGGTATAAATAAACAAAGGCAAGGGCGACAGACAGTTACAGGACGAAACTGAAACAGCTGCCCGCTGCCTGCTTCGTACCAAGCGCATCGCTCGCACCATAACGTCTAAATTTAAAATATCTCTCGACATAGGTATGCACCGATTTACGCCCACGTAAAATCAGTTCGTCTGAGTAATTGAACCCTCGGGGCATTCGAGTAGATGAACGACTTAATCTGCTCGCCACTTTCAATGAAATGATGAGCTCTTAATTTAATTGACCTTCAGAGATAATTAAGTTAATTGAGGTCATGAGTGTTCCAATAAAGCCCGAGCGTCTAAAGAGCATTAGGGGAACTGAACAGGACTCGTCACTCGTAACATCGCAAACATTTATTGCTACATAAGTTACACGTTTGACGTTTATGCTACCGGACGAACTTTAACTTATAATTGACAGGGGCAGTCCATAAGAATCCGGTTCAAGGGAAATTTCTACCTATAGATAGGATGACTTTAAAAGAAGTCCCGGATTATACGCGATGAAATGATCACCCCCTACATTGAACACCTTTTGAACGAATTTCGGATGCAAAAGAGATGCGCAATGTCTTTCTGTGATAAATAATTGAGTCTGGGAAGTGGCTCTGAGGAGATATAGGGGATCAGTAATGACAGAGCTGGGTACAGACATGGTACTAATGAGGCGGGGATTTATTTCTGCACCGTTCCCTCGTGTCCTGTCCTGCCGCACAATCCCCACGGACTGTGCGCGGGGCTGCAGCCGGCGGCGAGTGTAGGACTGGAGCTGTCCGCTCCACACACACCTGAGTCGATCGATACCGGCTGGCCCACTCCGCAGTGCCACTCAGAGCTGCACCGGTGTTCACAGCTTCACCGGTGTGTGCCCGACAGGTGAACCACAGGGAAGTGGAGACACTCTCGTCACAAAGCATTACCAGGACCATACTCTGACGTCGAGAACTTTAAACAGTCCAGCTCGCCAAACAACTGTTTGACAATTTTAGGTGTGACGTGGGTTTATAATTTTTTCTCTTACTAGTTTGTAAATAAAATAGGGTTACGAAACCCCGGCGACTAAAAAGACCGCTTGAACTGTCAAACGCCCAGCTAAATGTCAGAATATTGGTTAAAATGGGCTACAGTTGTAACCCGGATCATGGCATCCCGACAGATCTTATGACGAGCTTTTGTTTACGCAGATGAACAGTCTTCACAGTCGACACGAATGGCGGCTTACCGGCTGATAAATGTCCTGAAACGCCAATTATACGTAATGGAGCTGTATATCCTAGCTCCACAGAAAGTGCTGCGAGTAACAGATAAACGTTCACCGATATGGATGTAATTGAACAATTACTCAGAAAATGTGAGTAGCTTCTTATCACCAACAAAACATAAAAAGCATAATATATGTATGCAGGCAAATGGAATTAATGACAATGTTGTTAGGTCAACATGGCGGTCGCCAAAGCAAGCGTTCGTTGCACCATACGAACAGCGTGGACCATATACGAACATGATCGCTTACATGCCACTTTGTGCAGCTGTATATACGCACACTGTACGGGTATACACAGCTGATCGTCATAGAAACGACCGCGTGCGAAGGTCCTCGCTTGGCGAATCGGAAGGTCATCGTTCCCTCACACGACAATCGGAGGTGAGAGCGGTCAGGGGTCGAAACGTTAATAATAGCGAGGAGCACTGCCACGGAGGGCTGTCAAAGTGAGGGCACCTCTCACGACAATTATTATCTAATATTGACGAGCTCGTCACGGTCCCAGTGCCGTGCCGTTCCCAGCACATGTTCGGCGCAATGTTCAGTCTGCTCAGTGTGATCACACCGCTCTGCTCCGTCCGTCCGTCCGTCCCGCAGGCCGCGGATATGGCTGACCCGGCCAGGGAGCCGGAGCCGGAGCCGGAGCCGGAGGAGCGGCTCCCGTTCCCCTGGGACCCCGTGCCGCTGGCCGGGGAGCGGCTCGCCAGGATGGCCGGCGCCTTCCCCGACTACCGAGAGGAGGGGCTCGCCGGCTTCGGACCCTCCGGCTACGTGGCCATGCCCGACTCGAAACCCTTCTTCGAGGAGTACTACAACACGCCCGTGCACCCTGGCGACATCTGGGTGGTGACGCTGCCAAAGTGCGGTGAGTCGGCCGGCCGCCAGGGGCGCACCAGAAGCGGTCGATCCCAGGGACCCGCTCATTGGCCTCAGCAGTCGGTCCATAGCGCTGTCGCTGTCGAGGTCATGTAAATGAGATATGTAAATTGTCGTCAGAGCCCATTGATTCTCTAGAGCTTCTTCAGAGTAACCGTTTACGTCTAGCTAAGCAGCGAGTATCACAGACGTCGTCTCTCCCGCTGTCAGGCACCACCTGGACCCAGGAGCTAGTCTGGCTGCTGCAGAACGACTGCGACTTCGAGGGCGCCAAGTCGATGCTGATGCCGGATCGCTACCACTTCCTGGAGATCACGGGCGTGACGGCGCGCTCCGTCCGCGAAAAGATCAGGGACGGCGAGGACCCGCTCTCGCGGCGCATCTTCTTCGACCCGATCGAGTCCCGGCCGCGGCCGTGGTTCGTCAAAACCCATCTGCCGCTGCACATGTGCCCGCCCAAACTCCTCGACACCGCCAAGGTATCTGCTCAGTTAGAACGACAAGCACCGCAGCATAAGAGATCCAAAGGATGTTCGTGGAGATAGCTGAATAGCCCACGTCATTCTGGGGCATAACTGGTAGAAACATAGTTATGAATGTACCGCAATTAATTGTTTGGCCTTTCAATGTAAGGAAGGCTTCCGAGTTTCACAATCAAGACACTCATTTGTGCCGCTAATGCAAGGATATTCCTGAGAATTCAGTTCGCCCAATGAAAAATAAATGACGCTGGTTCGTTCAATATGGTTACATAAAAAGAGCTCCCCTACGTAAAGGGCTGACGCCGTGTTTTCTGTGTCGGCAGGTGGTGTACATTGTCCGCAACCCGAAGGACGTCTGCATCTCCTACTACCACCACTTGCACCTGTACAACGAGGCGGCCGCCGACCTCACCCTGGAGACGTTCGTCGACCTCTTCATCGACGGACTGGTCACCCAGCTGCCCTTCTTCCCGCACGTGCTGGAGGCCTGGCGGCAGCGCCACCACCCCAACATGCTGTTCCTCTTCTTCGAGGACCTCAAGAAGGACCTGCGCGGCAACATCGCCAGGGTGGCGGAGTTCCTCGGCAAGACGCCGACTGACGAGCAGCTGGACAAGCTGGCCGAGCACCTGCACTTCAGCAACCTCAAGAACAACCCGTGGGTGAACTGGGAGTGGATCGCCAAGTCGGCCTGGTCCACCGGAGACCCCAACAAAAAGTTCATGCGCAAGGGCAAGACGGGCGACTGGAAGAACCACTTCACGCCTGAGATGGACCGTAAGATGACCGGGTGGATGGAGCGCGAGCTCGAGGGCACCGGGCTCTCGTTCGTGCTCGACATACCCGAGGAGCAGCAATAGGCGGCGGCTAGGGCCCCGCAGGGATAGTTGCTGCGCTGGAGAGGGAGGGGGAGCCGGGAGGCCGTGTGGTGAGGCACGGTAACTGGTAAGTCGCTGTCGGTCCTCTGCCATTTATACTGATATTGTTGTCCTTCCTCTGTCAATCCAGTGCGACCCTGGGCCCTGTATTACTGTGTCGCGCCCTTGTTCTACCTTGTCTTCGGTAAGTTGTTCAGTACTACCCTGGCTTGGTGTCGTGTATTGTCCTTTATACGGGCCTCTAGCGGATGTTTTTATTGGCTATGCTGTGTATGACTACATTTTAATGGCGAATGATTGAAGGCCTCCTCTCCCAAAACTGCATGCGTCTGAATCTTATTTGTACGTCGTCTTTTACCACGAACAAACAATGAGCATAATTGCTTCGATTGCTTCTTGATTTGATAATTGTAAGCCTGTTTCTTGTGCCAAATACGATTTACACTATAGATAACTTGGCCGATTTGTGGGAAATGTGTCAGCAGTGGTCGTATCATTCCAAATAGACGATAGAATTAATGCGTACAATTAGTGTTTGAACACGGTTATGATCCGCGGTCCGTTGCTCCACTCTCGCGTGGTCGGATCCAATGCGTCTGAAAATCGGCGCCCCACGAATACGGGACGGGACGGTTGAGAAGATAAGCCATTAACCACGCATGAACACGGGCAACCGCCTAACTAATTACCGATGCGTCCATGTCAGCAAACACTGAGCTCTGGACTAGAGCAGAGCGGCCGAGTGGCCGGTCAATAACTTACAGAACTCACTCGTTTCATCCGTTCAAACTCCTCCACCTCAGCCTGGGGAAGTTTGAAGTTGAAGCTGTCGAAGTACGGGTGCTGGAGCAGCTGTTGGCACGTCAGGCGCTTCGCCGGGTCCTTCTCCAAACATTTCTGTGAAAAAAGAAACAAGGGACGTTACACTCGCACTTTGAGCATCGTACGGCATTAGCTGACAGCTGAATGCATTAAATGTTATGAATAGTTTCATAATCCTGTAGGCCGGTCCTGTAGCTCAGTTGGTTAGAGCGTTGGACTCCGCGTGGTGAGAGCACGCGTTCCCGGTTATGACAGTCCGGGTTCGAAGCGCGACGGGCGCTCGAAATTTATGGGCCTCCTGACAGGTATGGTTGCGGTTGGTGGCAGGCCGTAGCCAGGCGAAGTCAGCGAGGGGACCGGCCGTGCGCGGCTTTGTGCGCACGTTAAACTTTGGACTCTAAATTCTGCCATAGAATCGGAATTACGCGATCGGAGGGTAGAGGGCAGGGTCATCGCAACAAGCTTCGCTTAGCGGTGGCTATGTCCTTGTGAATCCTTCCCATCAAAAGGTTCGGACTAAATTTATATAAAAAAAAATAATAAACATTTTTAATGTCCGGCATAAGCTTCGGGCTCATCGGTGTCTTTCGAACCCTTTATATTTAACCTTTCGCTGCATCCCAAAGCCCTTCCCTGGTGACCACACACACCGTGTGTACAGCAGCCCGTGTCAGCCGGACCGGCGGACACTGCCAGGCCACTGCTGACCGTTCACGGGCCGCTGCTGACCGTTCACGGGCCGCTGCTGACCGTTCACGGGCCGCTGCTGACCGTTCACGGGCCGCTGCTGAACGTTCACGGCCCACCTGCGGTGCCCCTGTATCGACGGTCAGCCGGGCCCAGTCCGTGGTGACGTTCACACAGGTCTGAGCCGGCGCCGCGGTCAATACTGTGGCCACCGCCGTCTCCAGGCACAGCTGGGCGCGCCACACACAGGTGCGGCCGGCGGATCGGACCACTGAGCAGCGAGCGGCCCACCAACCAGGCTCCGCAGGCGCAGACACAGCTGGGTGGCCACTGGCCCTTTCCACTAACCTAAAAATCTATAATGTGCTTCTACACTCCATTCGTAAGTTGAAACGCAAACGCTTAGCGTAGCGTTGAGCCGGCTTCCCCGTGCTGTGCGGGTTAGTCTAACTCCCCGTGCAGTGCAGGTTAGTCTAACTTCCCGTGCTCTGCGGGTTAGTCTAACTTCCCTTGCTCTGCGGGTTAGTCTTTCTTCCAGTGCTGTGTGGGTTAGTCTAACTTCCCGTGCAGTGCGGGTTAGTCTAACTTCCCGTGCTCTGCGGGTTAGTCTAACTCCCCATGCAGTGCGGGTAAGTCTAACTTCCCGTGCAGTGCGGGTTAGTCTAACTTTCCGTGCTGTGCGGGTTAGTCTAACTTCCCGTGCTGTGCGGGTTAGTCTAACTTCCCGTGCTCTGCGGGTTAGTCTAACTTCCCATATCGGACGGCTGTCGGCCTGAATATTTTATCAAACAGAAGGTCATCTTTTCAAGGAAGGATAGTCTTATATGTCGCACCAGCTCCCCAGCAATATGTTGATTGCAGAAGCTCCACACAGCCCCAGCCCGTGACACGCCATTTCGGGAGCCTATTCAAATGAGCTCATTACGCGCTGTCGCCGTGTTGGAAGACTGGTCACGAAAGGCCAATCGAGCGACCTTGGCACCAGCTCCGGCCGTCCCCAGCGGCTCGGCTGCGTGAGACCAGCTCTTAGGAAAACTCGGACACTCGGACAATTAGGCGAAAGTGTCCTGTCGGAGGGACTCGCAGGGCGAGAGTGTCCTGTCGGAGGGACTCGCAGGGTGGCCGGGGAGTCGCCGCGACCTTGGCAGCAGAGACAATCGATGTCCGCCCAACAGGACTCCCCAGGCGCCGCACGAATCGCTAACTGACGACGACGTGACGTCATTAGTGACCAGCTTGTGACGTCAGCAGTGTCCAGCAGGCAGTGGCTGCTCGGTGTAAAAGGCTACGGGGTTGTGAAGCCAGCTAAAAGACTGAAAACTGACTTTTCAACGCATAATTTTGTAATGTACATAATAATAATAGCATAATTTTGTGTCGATTGTTTGTCTTAGCTTAAAAGAAACAAACAAAACAAGCTGTTCCGAGCAAAGCTAAGGCCATGTCCTTTCAGCAAACAACGCCTAATGCATCCTTTTTTAGAGTGAATATAGGGAAAAACTGTCGGCATTTGTCACTTTTAACCAGACAGTTTGCCGATACCGGCCCGGGTAAGACATCATTTACGTCCCGCCGCTGCGGTCAGCGCAGGTATAACACGTCTGGTGAATGGGGCTGACACGCAGCTACCCGCACTGTCATTGTGTGAGCTGATGCCGCCTCCCTCAATGTGCCGCCGTGTGTACCTTCGTGCGTCATCGTAACGCGATAATGGCCGCCGGTGTCGAGACATTGATCTGAGCGCGGCGCCGCGAACGGGCCGACGCCAATCCGCATGAGGTCCGAATGGGCGGCCGTGGGGCGATATAAACGGTGCAATAGCCAACACTGCAAGTAACCATATGACGGTCTGTTGGCGGATAGTCCTTTTTTGCACTTATTGGATGTTGGATGGTCATATTTGATGTATGGATTTTCGAAGTCTGACTAGCAATGCCCGAAACACGACTGCTAACCGTATTTCTAGTGGCACATTACACGCCGGTAAATGTGTCAATATACGGCATTTGTAGGCTTTTGCTTGTATACGCTAATATCATTATTTTCGGTAATATATAACAACATGGTTTTTCACCCTGGATCCACTGGACCAGTGCCACCACAGCCTGATCCTGCGCCGACTCTGACCTTGAGGAAGTCCATGCCGGTGTTGTTGAGCGACTTTCCCATCTTCTGCTCGAGGCTCTGCTGCTCCTGAGGCTCCGGCAGCACGACTCCCGTGAAAAACTCGTTCGACTTGAACACCTGCATGTGCCGCGAGATCAGGTCACCTGAAAATGGTCCGGCGAGAGTCATGTACGAATTAGGTGCAATCAGGAACTATCATATCAGTTCATCGCAATTCTTTCCGGGTCACGTGTCAACTTATGCCACTAAAACTGACCAGATATTTGCGTGAACATCACGCGACTGAGCTAAGGTTTCAACTCACCAAGCGTTTTCCGGATCAGGTAGAGCTGGTCGACGTCCGACTTTCCCGGCCAGAGGGCGTCTCCTTTGACGAGCTCGGCGAACACACAGCCCACGGCCCACACGTCCACGGGCGGCCCGTACTGAGTGTCGCCCACCAGCAGCTCGGGCGCCCGGTACCAGCGCGTGGCCACATAGTCCGTGTACGGCTCACCGGGACCTGAGCGAGGGACACAGAGGGTCACACAGGGACAGGGACAGAGAGGGTCACAGACGGACAATGAGGGGCAGAGGGGGCCATAGAGGGACGCGTTGCCGTACATTTCTCGGGACTTTCCAGAGACAGAACAGCGCGATTGCTGTTCATTGCTCCCATTAATGCAGCTCAAGTTAGGTGGCCTCTAAAATCTAAATAATCTAAAAAAGTATGTTGAGAGCCACGAAGCATCAGAAATGTCTGTCATATAAGACGCCTAGCATGACTGACCACGGCACTACCGGAAATGAAAGTATTCGAAGTGCATTTATATGGAATATTTAGCGGGCTGCGACTAATATCTCTTTCATCCCGTGGCATCATAAAATTCCAGCCATCTGCGGCACCGTGCCAGATGAAAGAAAAAACCTCTGTTGTCACGGAAACGAGTAGATACAAATTATATGCAGTCGGCGTGAGACGAAACTGCTAAGATGTCATTATAATATACCTATGAGCAGCTGAGATATGAGAAAGAGTCGGTAGATTGTGTAGACGTAATATTTGTAGCGACAGATGAACTCAATAGTCAATGCATGCTGATATTACAATTCCTTCTGCATATCGCACTAACCCACTCCTACGGGCACTCACTCATGTTCCTGGCGAAGCCGAAGTCGCAGAGTTTGAGGACCTGGTTTTTGGTGAGCAGCAGGTTCTCGGGTTTGACGTCCCGGTGGATGCAGTTATTGGCGTGGCAGTAGCTGATGGCCTGCAACATCTGCCACGTGATCCGCTTCGTCAGCTCCTCCGGCACGCTGAAAGGGGGCGGGGATGGGGGGGAAATCAGTAGGTACACGGGTTAAACGACACGGGACACGGGACGGTTGTTAAATGTGACACAATTAGCGAACACTTTTAGTTTGGATTCGATATTGTACTAATAACAGCTCGACAGTTATGCCGTTGTGTGACAGGTTTGCCTCGTGAGTTGGTGCATGTCTCGTGCAGCCGGATAGGTCGGATATAGGTACTGAGCGGCTCGATGTTACGGAGCAGACAGGATGAGCGACATCGCGGCCCGGAACCCACGAGAGGCGGCGGCACGCGAGCGGGACGGTGGGACACACAGCGCGGATAAAAACGGGGCCAGGGACCGGAGAGATAGACAGGGGAGGGGGAGGGAGAGAGGAGGGGAGAGGATGGGTGTTTGAACGTCACTGATAGCAAAAAATACCATGTATGGGTGACGCCGTTTTCAAAATAATGAAACTAAAAGTTTTCAGACTCCTAAATTCGAGGAGCTCCACCGCCATCCTACGACAAAACAAGGCCAAAACTGGCTGCCACCCGTCCTGTAACAGGCTGTTCGGCGGTGCTAAAATGCGACACCCGGTGTTCCTATGGGCCTCG